GTGGCAACGCAAACATTGCCACCTCCCTTGGTGCTGTCAGAGAAGGTTATATTGTGAGTCAGACCTTTCATTCTGCCTAAGGTAGAGAGGTAACGAGGCTCTTCCATCTGGCAGTGTCAGTGGAGACCACGTGGGAAAATAGTAAAAAGGTGCCTTCTCACAGCCAGGATAGTGTCATGGAAGCCAAGTGGGATCCTGAACTTCCACCCTAATCTGGCAGTATTGAGATACCCCTCACACGCGCCAGTGTCCAAGGAGGCCATTAGGGGAACTGGGACTGACACCTGCACCTGGGAGTAATGAGGCATCCCTCTCCATTGACACAGTGTTAGGGGAGGTCTGGAATATAAATAGGATCTTTAAATACGCTCCAGAGTCTCATAATAAAATACCCACAATGTCCAGGGTACAATCTCGAATCACCCGTCATTCCAAAAACCAGGAAAATCTTAACATGAGTGGGAAAACAATCAGTAGATGCCAACCCTGAGATGACACAGAGATTGGAACTGTCTGATAAGGATTTTAATGCAGCCATCATCAAAATGCTTCAACAGACAAGTATACACATACTCAAAATATTTTTTTTAAAGTCACAATAAAGAAATAGAAAGCTTCCGTGTAGAATCACAAGATATAAAGAAAAACCAAATGGAAATTTGAGACCTGAAAAATACAATTACCAAAATAAAAACTCACCAAATTGGCTCAACAGCAGAATGGACACCACAGAGGAAAGAATCAGTGAACTTGAGGATAGAAAATAAGTTATTTATAAATGGAATAATTAATATGATGTTAATACTGATGTGTGTCTAGATGTCTGAAGACTTGGGTTGCAGGTATGGCATTATCCAATTTCTTGCCAAATGTCCTGGGAATTATTCTTGTTAAGTCTCTGTTCTCTCAACTTTAAAATGAGATAGTAAAAACTGCCCTGGCTACTCTACCTGGATCCTAAATCCAATGTTTCTTGAACATTCACTGTATTTTTATTCATTCATTTATCAAATATACATTGAATGCCTAATATGAGAACTGCTATAGTAGATCCTAGGACTTTTAAGGAGAATATGGCAATGTTTCTGCTATAAGGTAGATTATAGCATAAGGAAGGAAACATGTAAGTAGACCAATTGTCAATACAGTGTGATAAGTACCATGGCAGAGATATGTACATAGGGCTTTGGAACTGCGTGGGGGAGGGTGGTGGTAAAGGTAAAGGATAGCCACAGAAAAAGCAGCTGACTGGACTCAGGAATTACAAATTTTGTAGTTCATTGAAGCTGAAATGTGGGAAGCTGGATGGGGAGAAACAAAGCTGAGATGAATGGGCTTTGCATGCCATTGGAAGATACATAGTTTTTATGCTGAACTTCATGGAACAGTACTAAATATGAGCACTATTTGGTATGAGAACATTTACACTGAGGGAAAACATTCTTTAAAAACCTTTTTTTTAATTTGAGTATAGTTGACACACAATGTTACATTAGTTTCAGGTGTACAACATAGTGATCGAACTTCTTTGTACATTATGCTATGCTCACCACAAGTGTAGCTGTCATCTGTTACTGTAAAATGCCATTATAATATCAACTGTATTCCCTAGGCTATGCCTTTCATCTTCGTGACTTATTCGTTATGTAACTGGAAGCCTGTATCTCCTACTTACCTTCACCCGTTCCCCCACCTCCTTCCCTCTGGCAACCATCAGTTTGTTCTCTGTATTTATAAGTCTGATTCTCCTTTTTGTTTATTTATTCATTTGTTTTGTTTTTAGATTCCACATAAGAGCGAAATCATATGGAATTTGTCTTTCTAAGTCGGACTTATTGAGGAAAAACATTCTAATAGCATAGAGAGATGACTTGAGAGGATGGGCTGAGGCCTGAGGCAGGGAGATTAATTAGGAGGCAGTAATTCTAACCCAGGTTATCAATGAGAGAACTGAACATTTGTGGAGGTTAATGTGATGTTACATATGGCCAATGGAATGTAGAGAATGAGGGATCAAATCTGACTCTGGGGTTTCTAATTCAGGTCCCGGGGTGCAAGGTTGTTCCTTGAAATATGGAAAACAGGAGAAGGGGAGGGTTTGCATTTGGGATGGGGCAGTGGGTTGAGGTGGGGTGAAAATGACTATAGTTTTGGACATGTTATTCTTTCCAAATAGAGATTTTGTTGGGGAGGAAAAATTTTTTACTGTACCCCTCTAGGTTCTTTTGGCTGATCTATTAATTAAATTGATGTAATGTGAAATTAATGAAAAAAACTAATTTCGAATGTAGGGGAGCCTCACACAGACATGAGAGAGTCTAATAGTCAGACTATTGAGGCTTATATGGCATCCTGAGCTAAGGTGAAGGGGGTAGGGGCCTAGAACTTCAAAGGGAAGGAAGACAATTCATAGGAAGATGGAAAGAGCAAATGTTTTTTTGCAGAGACCATGGGACATAGAGAGGAATTGGAACAAACAAGCCCTGCCAACCCTCCCCCCACAGCCTACCATGCCTAGCCCATACCCTTTGTAGTTACTTTTGGTGATAGATCTTTTCCTGGACCAGGCCGTCTAACTAAATTCTTAGAAGCAGTTAAGGACAGGGGAGGCTAAAGGTCTTCCTGAGTCTTTTGGGTCTTGATTGTCTTCTGCTCAAAATAATCCACATGTCAAAGTAGCATGTTTTGGGGATGCTCATTCCGAAACCCTTCAGTGTCCAGCAGGCTGTGGCTGTAGGGGTCCAGAGCTCAGAAAGAAGGTCAGGGCTGGAGCTAAAGATGGAAGTTGAAGCCATATGAGTATAAAGATTACCCAGAGAGTGTATGCAGAGTGAGTCAAGGGATGGATATGGAGCCTTAGGAATCTTGGTCAAAGATTTGACAGAGGAAAAGGATTCCATGAAAGGTATTGAGAAGGAATAAGTAAAGCGGTAGGAGAATAGTCAGCAGATGATAAAGTGAATTCTTCCTGTTCTTTGGTATTGAGGGGGCCCCTTTTTTTTGTGCACTGTCATGAGCATAATTAATTATTGGGCACAAAGTGTGGTAAGAGTAGATAAAAAGAAAGAGAATGATGACAAAAACATTTGCTCTTCCAGCAAGCCAATATTCCAATATTCTGTTTCAGAAACAGAAACAAAATAAAAAAAAATAGAAATAAATATTTTTGTGAGAAAATCCTATAAAACATCTTTCCTTATTTCTGTCACAAAATGTTGAGCAAACTACCTTTTTTTCTTGGCATGTTAGCTAATTATGGCCACATTTATGCTGCATATCCAGTAACTCTAAAAATGTCCAAATCTAACACATTCAGCAGTTATTTCCATGTATCTCTAGGTTGTCATGGGGTCAGATGATCCAGGATGGGCATGACTGGAAACGTGGCTCCAAGACATATTATCTGACTGGGTTGGGTTCCCCACTTTTTTGGGGCTCTACTCCCACCTGCAGAGATATCTGCTTTGGGTAGGAGGCTGAGGAGGCAGCTGTAATACGGGAGGCTCTTCTGGAGGAAGTAGAGGTGAAGGTGAGTGAGCCCAGCTGCACAAGTGCTTTCAGGCCTCTGCTGATTCAGCAAAGCATGCTCCCACGGATGAGCTCCCATGGAGGTGGGGGCAAGGGGAAGAGACAATATTTTTGAACAAACATTGAACCTATCACACTTGGCGATTAAGAATCTTTACGTTAATTACCCTTTGTGCTGTGTTGTCAGGTAGTCATATTCCGATTATTGAAGTGTGGAGGGTCATTTGACCCTGATTAAGTGATCCTTCCTCCTGCTGAGTTCTGTATGTGTAATTTCTTAATGCCGCCACTAAATCTACAGCTGCTTTTAATTCACTGCCTCGTTTCACACAGGGCTTTTTGAATGAAGACCTGAAGGTGATCCTCTGCTATCTGACAAGACTTTTTCTTCTTGCATCAATGTTTTTTTTTCTTGTTATTTTGCATTGTTGCAGTATTTGCTAATCTGACATTGGAACAAATAGACCATTGCTGTATTTGAATGCTTTTTTCTAATCCCCTCCTCCTAAACAAGTGGCACCTGCAAAGCTTTTTCTTTTGGAAGAATGAGATATATTTCCTTAAAAAGTATCTCCATCTATCCACATGATATCCGTATTTTCACAGGAAGGCATTGATCAATTAGGAGATGAAAAGCACTAAATTGCAAAGGTCTTTGAAAAAATTAATTAAAATTTTATATGCATGTCCATTCTTTATTCAAATTATGAAACATCTCAAAAACGCAAAAAAAAAAAGCAGAACAGAGCTTATCTATTCTTTGTGCAACTGGAGGCATCACACTTAATTGATGCAAAAAAAAGTATATATAAACAGTTCTTTTAAAGAATTGAATTTTCCAGTAAGTTTGTCGTTTTACAGCAGATACCCAAACTCAGTCACACATCTACCATTTGTTCTCTCAGCCTAATGTTTGCTTGGCCTGCACTGCTCTTATATGCAATTCATTTCATCCATGTAACCTAGATTATTTTGGTGCTCCATATTTTAGTTTCCTCCTAAGCGATTAAATTGACAAAGTTGTCCCCTTGAAGTGTGAGGTATATTTTTTTCTAGTGCACATCAAAATAAATACATATTTATTAAAATAAAGATGTCCCTTCTGGGGGCACGTGGGTGGCTCGGTCGTTAAATGTCTGCCTTCGGCTCAGGTCATGGTCCCAGGGTCCTGGGATCCAGCCCCACATCTGGCTCCCTGCTCAGTGTGGAGTCTGCTTCTCCCTCTACCCCTTCCCCCGACTCGTGCTCGTGTGCTCCTTCTCTCTCAAGTAAATAAATAAAATCTTAAAAAAAAAAAAGATGTCCCTTCTGTACCATCTTAAATATCTACTTTGTAGACATCATTACCTGGCATACTATGCATGGGGAAACACTATTTTAAGGGCAGTGGTACCAAACTAGAAATATAGAAACTGGTTAAGCAATAATACATTTTGGAAAGAATTATTGACCCTTACCTTTCAATTTTTCAGGTTTGTGGAAGGAATGCTTAACATTTGTTACAATGCCATCGATCGTCATATTGAAAATGGTCAAGGAGATAAGATTGCTATCATCTACGACAGTCCTGTTACAAACACTAAAGCAACTATTACCTACAAAGAGGTTCTGGAGCAGGTAATATCATAAATGTTCTGTATATGTTATTTGGAAATCATAGAGATTACTTAAATAACCTGCATTCACATTGTGTAACCTTTACTTCGCTTAATTCATTGACCTACATTACTATGGTTTCCTTTTGATGCACATTGGAAAAACTAGAGGTATGTTAACTCATTTAGATGGCTTTTATCCCTTATATTTGTATGTTTCAGTACTGGAAGAGACTCATTTTACAGGGAGAGCTTAGCAAGCCTCTAAGAATACGTGTAGGTCCTCTCCTGGCCTTTGCTTCCATCTACGTTGCCATCACTCAGTCCCGCTACTTTTCAGCTCTTGCAGTAGTGAAGCAGCCTCCCAACTTCCCCACTACCAGCCTCCCCTGCTGTTGGATCACTACCTAAAGTGACGCTGGAGTTTCCTCCTTAAGAAACAATTAGTTAAAAACCCTTTCCGTAAAAATTGCTATTACTTAGAGAGTAAAATCTGGACTGCCGGAATGCAGAAGCCATTTGTAATGAAGCATTTCCCCAAGCTTCATTTCCAGAACTTCTTGGCCGTGCACACAACCGTTCTTCATCTTGGTTGTCCCGTCATGCCCTCCAGCACTCCTCGTCCGTTACAGGTCTTTGTACACACTGTGCCTTTCCTTCATTTGTTCTTTTTTCTTGTTTGTTTGTTCTTTCCCATCTGTGTAGTTCTTGGGTGAATCACAATATTGACAGATGAATTATAAGATTTTTTTTTAGCATTAAGGTGGAAATGAGGTTTCAGAAGTAATTATGAATGTATTTGGGTATTGTGGACCGTGCAACATGTATCCTAGCTCTGTGGGTGCATTTATTTACATATGATTTTTTTTAAAGATTTTATTTATTTATTCAACAGATAGAGAGAGCACAAGTAGGCAGAGTGGCAGGCAGAGGGAGAGGGAGAAGCAGGCTCTCTGCTGAGCAGGGAGCTGGACGTGGGGCTCGATCCCAGGACCCCAGGATCATGACCTGAGCCGAAGGCAGCCGCTTAACCGACTGAGTCACCCAGGCGCCCTATTTACATATGATTTAAAGGGAGATAAAAGCATAAGGAAGGGTTTCTACTTTGATGGTATTGACATTTTATTTATTTATTTATTATTTATTTATTTGTTTGTTATTTTAATTAATTAATTACTTTTAGAGGGGGAGAGGGGCAAAGGGAGAGAGGGAGAGAAGCAGACTCCTCATGAGCATGGAGTCCAACACAGGGCTCCATCTCACAACCCTGAAATCATGACCTGAGCCAAAACCAATTGGATGCTTAACTGACTGAGCTACCCAGGCGCCCGACACTATCGACATTTTAAGCCAGAGAATTCTTTGTTATGGGATACTGTTATGTACACTGTACGATGTTTAGCAGCATTCCTGGTCTTTACCTATTAGATGCAATGGCACACCTCCCGTAGTTGTAATGACCAAAAAAGTCTCCAAGCGTTGCCGAATGTCTCCTGGGTGGCAAAATGGTTACTGGTTGAGAACTACTGGTTGAGCAGAGTTGGTTATACTAGGGTTTGGAAGCATTTGCTTTTAAATTAAGGCTTTTGAAAGCACATTCTCTTCTTTTGCTTTTTTAACCTACTTAGGGTTTGTGCTGGATTTTTAGAAAATTTGGTCAACTTTCCTTGGCTCCCTGAAATTATATCCTTTTGCATCAACAATGTTCCTGTTTAGACTTCTGAGAGATTTCCAAAAAAGGCAACTGGGACAACCCAATGTCTCCATCCTGAGTTGTTGCAAACAATCAAGAGAGAAATTTAAGCCAGTTTTACTCAAGCTGGGTATCAGCCTGGTTGTATCAGTGAATGCTGGCTTCAGCTGATTTAAACATAAGAGGAATTCATGAAAAGGGAAGACTAAAGAACCAGGTTCAGAAAAGTGAGAAGGGAGAAGGGGCAGAGGTAAAAATTTAAGGAGAACCCACACATTGGTAACTAGAGAAGGGGCAGAGGTAAAAATTTAAGGAGAACCCACACATTGGTAACTAGACTTGCTAACTTGAATTAACCCCCTAGACTGACACAGTAGGAATACCTAGTTGGCCAATTTTAGGTTACATGCCTAAAGTACCAGGCAGTGGAGGAAGAAATGTCTTCTCTCCTTTTGATTTCATAGTAGGAATTGGGGTCCTAGCTCCCTCTAGGACTCATACTGAGGGAATTCCAATCCAATAAGAAGGGAGTTCAAATGTTAGGCAGCCCAAGATAGAACAGAATAAAATAATGCCACAATTATACTGTTGGGTACTTTGTATTGGTCTGTAAGTGTGAACTCTATTTTCAGAATGAATTATACAGAAACAGAGCTCACACTGGGGCTGAGGAGAGAGAGAACTCCATTAGCAAACGACCCTGTTACTCATCTGAGGCCATGTTTTATTATAAGAGATAATGTAAATTTCCTGATAACCTGCTCTACCTTGTGTTTTATTTTAGGTTTGCATTTTTGGCTTTTAGATGAGGGTTTATCTATGATTAAAAACTTTACTCCTCTGATTTGGGCATATTGTCACAGCTTCATTTTATTAAGGCCTAAGACACAGGTGAATCTTAATTAGAATACAGATTAGGACGCTTACTTATATATTTCCGAATATTATCTATACCAATATTGAATTTGACACATAACCCTCAGAGCCAAAGAGAAAGCTTTAGAGAAACATAAACTAAGGAGAGTTAAATAATTTGCTGCTTTTTGTAAATCAATTGCATAAGTATATATGGTAAACACATACACATTTTGCTTAGAAACATTTCTGCTAACTCATCTCTATTTTCTAATATTGAGTCTAGACTCTTAGACCCTTTTGAGGTTTGTACTGGTTCATTGGTTTCAGTTTAGCCTGACATCAAAGTACTTAAAAGTCCTGTTTCTCTCACCTGCTGACAGCTTCTGATTCCCCAGGCTTTTCTTCTCTAAAGTACTAAAGGAAGAAGTGTTAGGAAAAACGGAGGCATTGTGCTCTGCTTTGATTACCTGCTCCCGGTTCCCTGTGGCCTTTATTTTATTAAGTAGAGAAGACAGAGAAAGAAAGCTTTAACGGTAATGCCACTGAGAACAAACAAAGAGAAGTGGCTTTGTACTTGTTTTAATCTCCCCTGTCTCATTTCAACTGGGAGTTTTTGACTAAGTAAAACTTGATTAAGTTAGTTAGCATTTCTTATTTAATTAGGAGACAGACACATTTTAGGCTAAATTGTTTCAGTGACATGAAGGATCTGAAGATTTTACAGAATGATTCAGAAGTAGAGCTTTTCCAAAACTGTCACCTTTTATGTAGATCTGATAATTTAAACAACCCTTTATTAAGATTTTTTGGAGAGAGATTTGAGCCAGGTTCAAGGTCCATTGTTCATTCACTCAACAAATGTTTGTTTTATATGCCAAACCCTGTTGGGAACAAGGGATATAAGGCAAATGTGCCCATTCCCTATTTTAGAGAGCTAAGACCCTGCGTAACTGTAATAAAGGTTATGTTAGAGGGTAGTATTATGTTCTGTAGAAACACATGGGAAGGCATGCAGCTCAGCCAACTGTTAATACAGCATGGAAAGGCTTTCTGGAAGAGTCAGTGCCTAAAATTAGCCCAAAATGCCAGAAGTGGGAAGGGAAATCGTGGGAAGGAGGGTCCTGCAGACACAAGGAATAGCTCATACAGAGATATTCAGGGAAGGGAGAATCCAGTGCCTCCCCGGTGGCTTTGGCATAAAGTACAAGCACGAGTGATTAGCGAGATAGGGCTCCAGTGAACCAGACTCTCAGAACTCTGAGTGCCACACTACAGATTTGTACTTTATCCTGAGAGCATGGAAAGAAAAAAACAAAAGCCACTCCTCCCTGTGACCTGTGGTTCTGCATGATCAGCTCCTGTGACTTACTCCCCAATCCCACTGTACTACACTGCACACCCCAGCCTCAGTGCATTGCACATCCCAGCCCCACTGCATTGCACACCCCTACCCCCTGCACTACACACCCCAACCCCACTGCCCTGCACACCCCAGCCTTACTGCACTGCACACCCCAGCCTCACTGCACTGCACACCCCAGCCCCACTGCACTGCACACCCCAACTCCACCACACACCCTAGCCCCACTGCACTGCACATCCCAGCCCCACTGCACTGCACATCCCAACCCCACTACACTGTATACCCCAGCCCCACTACACTGCACACCCCGACCCCACTGCCTCCTGCAGTTAACTTTCACCTTGCTCCATTCCTGACTTGGAGTTTTGTACTTACCTACCTTCTGCTTGAGATAGTGTTTCTTCCAGATATCTATGGTTCATGGTACCTGGATATTATTTTCCATGGTAGCTGGATGAGATTTTCCCTGGCCATATTAAATACAAATGTTCCCATGTCCACACGACTTTGGACCTCCCTTTTCTGCTTTCTTTTTAATTTTGCCATTTATTACTCAGTACCACTGTTTTTCTTTTACTTAGCTCTCTTCTTTTGTGGTGTTTCCTCTTCCAGAATGTACTTTCCTTGAGGGAAGAGGCTTTTGTTCTGTTCAGAGTGGGGACTGGTGCGTAGTGAACATGTGTTGAATGATGAAGGAATGAATGAAGGAAATACGATTTGAAATTTCTAAATGACTCTAGCTTCCTTTATTGTGGGAACTTCTTATCTTTGAATTTTATTGGTAATATAACACGAGCTTCTTTCTAAGTAAATTCTGACCTCTTACTACCTGTGAAGAACTGTAGCTTATTTACATTGGGCTTGGAAGTTCAAGATGAATATTTCCTCCATGAATTTTCCCCACTCACAACCCATATCTGCATTGCAGCAGAAATGGATGTGTTTATTGTGTTCTCCTCTTGGTAGCTCTTTTCCAGTTAGTGGTTCTATCAAAGCTCAGTGAAATAAAGGGGTGTGTGTGAGTTTATGTTTGTATTTGGATGCATATGTTATATACAGTATTCATCATTTTTAGAAATTCCTACTTTGAATTTATTTTCTCTATAAT